AAAGAAAGAAAGAAAAAAAATTGTGCAGGAAAAGTTTATGATCCTACTTCCCAAGGCCAGCATAAATTGGAACCAAATAATCTGACAACAAACTTCCACTAGTAATCATTATATTATGCTCTGCTCTTGGAGAAAACATTACTAACTTGTACAAATCAGAGCTTTTATAAGCAACAACACCTTCTTATATAAATACTTCCAAAGAACAAAGAGGAAATACTTAATATGTGTTTGGAGGCCATCATAAAATTGATATAAAACCTGAAAAAAACATGAGCCGGGCACAGTTGCACATGCCTGTAATCCCAGCAGCAGGGGAGCCTGAGCAGGAGGATTGAGAGTTCAAAGCCAGCCTCAGCAAAAGCAAGGCGCTAAGCAACTCAGTAAGACCCTGTCTCTAAATAAAATATAAAATGGGGCTGGGGATGTGGCTCAGTGGTCAAGTTCCCCTGAGTTTTAATTTCTGGTACCAAAAAAAAAAGGGGGGCGGGGGAAGAACAAATAATTTCTACAAATTAATACAGCAAAAACAAACTATTTTTTGTTCCTGAGGATTGAACTCAGAGCCTCACATGTGCTAAACACCTTCTCTACCACTGAACTACACACCTAGTTTTCCCTATTGTTTTTTTTCAATATCTTTATTTTTTTTTCATTTATTTTTATGCAGTGCAGAGGATCAAACTCAGGGCCTCACACCTTCGAGGCAAGTGTCTACCACTGAACTACAGCCCCAGCCCCTCGTCTATTATTTTTTAATGGACGAGACGGAAACATGCACTTAAATATATGTATATGCATATATATGTGTGTGTGTATTATATATATAAAAGTCATCAAAAAACATGAAAAGATGCTTAATACCATCAGTCAGTAGAAAAATACAAATTAAAACCACAATGAGCCAGACACAGTGGTACACACCTGTAATCCCAGTGGCTAGGGAGGCTGAGACAGGAGGATTATGGGTTCAAAGCTAGCCTCAGTAAAAGTGAGGCACTAGCCGGGCCGTGGTGTGCGTACCTGTAATCCCAGCAGCTGAGGAGGCTGAGATAGGAGAATCACGAGTTCAAGGCCAGCCTTAGCAATGGTGAGGCACTAAGCAACTCAGTGAGACCCTGTCTCTAAATAAAATACAAAATAGGGCTGGGGATGTGACTCAGTAGTTGAGAGCCCTTGAGTTCAACTCTCAGCACCCATTTAAAAAAACAAATCAAAACAATGAAATACCACTACACTTGCCCACTTAATACTAAGAAGGAAAAACCAAATAAAACATTGCTAATAATATAAGGTGCTGATGAGGCTATGGTGACTCAGCTGATTAAATTTTTTAAAACATATTTATTTTTTAGTTGTAGTTGGACATAATACCTTTAATTTATTCATATATATGAATAAATTAAAGGGGTTCGATCCTCAGCACCACATACAAAACAAAGATGTTGTGTCCGCCGATAACTAAAAAATAAATATTAAAAAAAAAAAAAGGAAGCAGATTCATAGTGGGATAGGGAGTGGGAGCATGAGAGGGAACATACGAACTCTAAATAGGGCAGAGGGGTTGGAGGGAAAGGGAAGGGGCATGGGGTAATTAATGACAGTGGAATGTGATGATCATTACTAACCAAAGTACATGTATGAAGACATGAATTGGTGTGAATATACTATGTACATACCAGAGATGTGAAAAATTGTGCTCTACATATATAATAAGAATTGTAATGCATCCTGCTATCATATTTTTACATAAATTTACATAAAATTTTACATAAATTTACATTAAAAAATAAAAATAGCAAGTATACAGCAAGATGTCTATAGTTAATGTGTGTGTGTGTACATATATATTTTGGGGGTGGGGGTGGGGGTGCAGGATTGAACTCAGAGGCATTCGACCATTGAGCCACATCCCAGCCCTATTCTGTATTCAGAGACAGGGTCTCACTGAGTTGCTTAGCACCTCACTTTTGTTGAGGCTGGCTTTGAACTTGCAATCCTTTTTTTTTTTTTTTAAAGAGAGAGTGGGAGAGAGAGAGAGAGAGAGAGAATTTTTTTTAATATTTATTTTTTAGTTCTCAGCGGACACAACATCTTTCTTTGTATGTGGTGCTGAGGATTGAACCCAGGCCGCACGCATGCCAGGAGAGCGCGCTACCGCTTGAGCCACATCCCCAGCCCATGAACTTGCAATCCTCTTGACTCAGCCTCTTGACCTGATGGGATTACCATGTGCACCACCTCGCCCAGCTAAAATAATGTATATTTAAAGTTACTGAAAGAGTGAATTTTAAATGTTCTTACCACAAAGAAGTATGTAAGGTGATGGATTTGCTCTGATTTGTTCATTCCAAAATGTGTATGTGTATTGAAATATTATTTTGTACCCCATAAATGCATATAATTACTTTCTGTCAATAAAAATAAAACTTAAAAATTTAAGAAAAGTAAAATAAAAAAATAAGTCAGACATAGGTAGACATAGTGGTGCATGCTTTATTCCCAGAAACTCAGGAGGCTAAAGCAGGAGAATTGCAAATTGGAGGCCTCAGCAACTTAGAGACCCTGTTTCAAAAAAAAAAAAAATTAAAAGGGCTGGGAATGTAGCTCAGTGGTAGAAGAACATCCCTGGTTTCAATTTCCAGCAACCTCCACCTCAAAACAGTCAGACAGACACGAAAGAACATGTACTGCATGATTCTGTTTATTTGAGGTTTAAATAGATACCAGTCAAACATTGGTTACCCTTGGACAAGAGTGGGCAAATATGTTCTTAAAAGGAACACAAGGGCCAGGAGTGGTGACACACACATGTAATCTCAGTGACTTGGGAGGGTGAGGCAGGATTGCAAGTTTGAGGCCAGGCTCAGCAACTTCGTGAGACCCTTTCTCAAAAGCAAAAAACAAGACTGGGGATGTAGCTCATTGGTAAAGCATCCCTGGATTCAATTCCCAGTACCAAAATATAAAATAATAAAAAAATTTAAGACTGGGGATATAGCTCACTTGGTAGAGTGATTGCCTCTCATGCAAAAGGCCCTGGGTTCAATCCCCAACATCACAAAAAATTTTTAAAAATTTAAAAAGAGGACACAAAGAAACCTTTGGTGGTATGAAAAATGTTCCTAACCTTCACCATCTTCATCTGAGTAATAACTATCCAAGTGTGTAGCATCTGAAAATTCATCAAGCTACAGTTAAGACTTGTGCACGTTTATTTATTTTTTTAATTGTAGTTGGACACAATATCTTTATTTTATTTATTTACTTTTATGTGGTGCTGAGGATTGAACCCAGGGCCTCGCACATGCTAGGCGAGCACTCTACTGCTGAGCCACAATCCCAGCCCAGACTTGTGCACTTTCATCTTTACTTGAAAAGAAAAGAAATATGGACAAGGCATGGTAGCTCACACCTGGAATCCAGGCTACTTAGGAGGCCAAGTCCAGAGGATTGCAAGTTCAAGGCAAGACTGGCCCTCTTAGTAAGACCTCGTTTCAAAATAAAAAATAGAAAGGACTAAGGATGCAGAGGAGTGGATCACTCCTGGGTTCAATTCTAAAAACAAGGAAGAAATGCAGGCAGGCAAACAACTTAAAGCCACAAAACTTGATCACTGACTATAAGCATAGGTGGCAAAAAATTGAGTGGTAAAGAATGAGCAGGTATGGATAGGCAGGTAAAGGACATAGGTGAGGATTAATGTTGGGTTTGTTGTTTAGATGACAGGCTGGCTGGAGATAACATTCTACTGGAAATAAAGAAGAAGTCTGGAATCTGTAAATAATAACCTTCTCTTTGGATCTGTGGAGTTTGAGAGGCCACCGGATTATATAGAGATGCCAAGCAGAGAACTGACCATTAAGATCTAAAGTAGGGCAGAGGTCAGACTACAGAGCCAGAGTCAAACTGTCCAGCATCTCCGGATAGAAGAGATCAATTATCAAGACCAAGAAGAAGTGAAGACAAAAACATAACAAGAATGGACACTTTCAGTGGGCACTTGCCTGGAATCCCAATGGTTCATGAGGCTGAGACAGGAGGATCACAAGTTCAAGGCCAGCCTCAGCAACTTAGCAAGATCCTGTCTCATAATAAAGAGCTGGAGATGTGGCTCAGTGATTAAGCATTCCTGGGTTCACTCCCCAATTCCAAATAAATGGACACCTTGACAGCAGTAAGAGAATGAATACTCCATGGAGAAGACACAAAAAAAAGAAACCACAGAAAAAAGAAACCAAACAAGAAGACATTCCAGGGGAGACTGCACATGAATGTCAATTAGCCAGGCGTGGTGGCATACATCTGTAATTCCAGCAATTCAGGAGACTGAGGGAGGAGAATCCCAAGTTTGAGGCCATCCAGGGCAATTTAATAAGACCCTGTCTCAAAATTTAAAACATAAGAAAAGCAACTAAAAAAGGGCTGGAGAAGTGGCTGAGTGGTAGAGTGCCCCTGGATCCAATCCTTAGTACCACAATAAATAAATAAAACAGGAGTGTCAACTGGTCAGAATGCTCAACTAAAGTAAGGACTAAAGTATTCATGATATTTGCCATGATAAGGTCACTGCTGTCCCCCTTAAGACAGATCCAAAAGTTATACAGTTTAAAACATAAAGAGAAATAAAGAGACATTTGACAGAAAATATAACTTTCACCTATCTGCTGCACAATCTGTACATGATATTTAAGAACTTTACCTAAAGGTGATATAATCCATTCTTTATTGCAAATAACCCAGGTTCTATGCCCGGATAGAAACAGACCATCAGAGAGAGGTCTACAGGATCAAGGTGTTTCAGTCCTTAGAGTTCTCCTTTGGCACAAAGTACTCTGCTTCCCCTGAGTAGCAATTATAGGCAGCATGCTGCACTGATTTCCAGTCATCACTGAATGATTACGTAAGTGACCTAGAGGAAGACCAGGAAAAGAACATTGATTGTACTTTAATCCCAAGAACTCTTAAGGTCCCATGAGAAATTCCTGATAATTCATTTTAATGGCCAATGCAAATCACATAACAGAGAATATCTGCACTATTGCTGTAAACTTCAGAAAAACAGATCAATTTGCCTTAAGATCATGGAACCTATTTCTATGCAACATTTTGTCCCGATATTGATGTTGATCTTTTTTTAATATTTATTTTTTAATTGTAGTAGGACACAACACCTTTATTTTATTTATTTATATATGGTGCTGAAGATTGAACCCAGGGCCTTGCATGTGCTAGGTGAGCACTTTACCGCTGAGCCACAACCCCAGCCACCACCACCCCTTTTTTTTATACTGGGGATTTAACTCAGGGGCAATTTACCACTAAGGTACATCCCTAGGCCTTTTTATTTTTTATTTTGGGACAGGGTCTCCCTAAGTTGTTCAGGCCCTCCCTAAGGTGCTGAGGCTGGCCTTGAACTTAAAATCCTTCTGTTTCAGACTCTGGATCTGCTGGTGTTACAGGTGTGCACCACCACACCCAGCTTGCTATTGATCTTGTCTACTTTCCCTGAAGCTGATTTTCATCTATTTCTACATTTGCATTCTAACCTAAGACCTCATAAACAAAGTAGGAAATAAGAAATAAACTATTTACCTCAGACCTGCTCATTTTCTGCTGCTCTAGGAAACAGGTAGGGTGAGCTGGAGAAGAAAGAATGGATCACAAAAGGTTTGATTTGCCTAAAAGCTCAAGATAATAAAATGTCTTCCTGTAGGAGAATGTCCTTTGGCCCTTAATTACCTTGACAATACTTGCTGTCTTTAAACTGAAACTGATCTTTTTGGGGGGAGGAGGGTACCAGGTTCAATACTAGGTTCATGATATTCGCCATAAGGTCACTGCTTTTCCCCTTAAGCAGATCCAAAAGTTATACAGTTTAAAACATAAAGAGAAATAGAGACATTTGACAGAAAATATAACTTTCACCTATCTGCTGTACAATCTGTGGATAAATACAAGGGGTAATTATCCACTGAGCCACCTTCCCAGCCTTTTTTTTTTTTTTTTTTTTATTTTATTTTTAGACAGGGTCTCACTGAGTTGCTTAGGCCCTTGCTAAATTGCAATCCTCCAGCCTTAGGATTACAGGCTTGCACCACCACATCCAGCTTGAAACTGATTTTGACTTAACTATGTCAGAAATTCTGACTAATGGTGTAGGCACTAATGAATCTTCACCCTCTGGATCTTCACCCTCTGAAGCTCAGTGGCTTTCATCTTTCATATTGGGCAGAAAGCAGTAATCCAGGAAGCTCTTCCCTGTACTACTTTCCAGGTCTATATAACAGAATGGAGGAAACACCCATATCTCTTAAGGCCACCAGGGGTAAGAGTCATGGTATGAGAGCCCCTTGAGGATCTGTAAAAAGCAGACAAACTTGAAAGGAATCAAAGGTTGTTGGGTGGGAAGTGGGAGTGGGAATTAAGTTTTTCTTAATGGTAGGTGGTATTTCCCCCACACACACCAGGTTCTCCCACATCCTTAATTGAAGTGACATTCCTGGACAGACCTGCCTTCAGCCTGAGCCCTAGCTCACCTCTTTCTTCTGAAACTTGGCCCAAACCTCCCATTGTCTCAGTTTGGGTGGCCTGTTTCTAGACATGCAAACCTAGAATCTGCTCTTTCCCAGCAGGGTTTTCTGCTCCACTCGGATGGTCCATTTCACAGGTGCCTTCCTCCTCACTTGAGCTTCTTGGTTCCTAAGAACCAGGATCTGGGGCTAGGGGACAAAATAATTTTAGTTGGAACCTACACCTTGGGAACCTGAGTCTTGAGCTGACTGGGCAGTTCAAACCACAAGTGCAGCACCTAGCAGGTTGTACCCAACCGGTAGAGCGCGAGGGTTCCCGGCAGTGCCCACTAGGGCGCGCACATCCTCCGCACAGGAGGCAAAAGCGGCCACAACGGTCACCAGATAGTCATCCTTCCGCCTGCCTGCCATCTCCTACACGACAGAGGGCCAAGTTGAAGCCACCCGCCGCACCCGTCCAAGAGCTTGGATCTAAGGTCGGGTCCCGCCTTTGCATGGGCTCGGCTGGCCTTTGATCCAGGTTGCACCCTGACCACGATCCTCGTGCGTGTCCGGGGCCTGAGCCGCGCATGCGCAGGAGGGCCTGTCTCTGGTTCCCGCGCAGTACGCGCCCGGGATCTGGAGGGGCTGTTTCCCGTCGGGCTCCGCGGCAGTAGCCGCGCCTCAATCCGGCCGAGGGAGGAGCTGTGTCCGCCGGGCCCGGAGGCGTTGCGCCTGACGTTTTCAGCTAGTTCCGTGCTTACCCGGCTCCACCAGAAAGGACGCCCGCGGCGCAAACCTCGCGGAGAAAAACTGTCCCTAACAGCAATGTTGCTTTCAGGAAAGCAGAGCAGCGAGGTGCTGGTGGTTTTGTAGTTAGTAGTAACGAAGACAGTAAAATGCCTCAAAATTACTTTTAACTCACAAAACTTGGGAGATCAATAAAAATGCACGCAAACTAAAAAGAAAATGGCTGAGATTGTAGCTTAGTGATAGAGCACTTGCCCAGCATCATGAGACTCCTATGGGCTTGGGATATAGCACGGTTGGTAGAGTACCTTCCTGGCATGCACAAGGCTTGGGTTCTAATCCCCAGCATCACTTAAAAAAAAAAAAAAAAAAGAAGAGGCCCTTAGTGAGCTCTTCAGCACCTCCAAAGTAAGCAGAATGACTGTGACACCCAACCTCACCTAACAACTTTTACAAAAAATGCGATTTAGAGCATAAAGAGGATCGCAATTCAAGACCAGATTGAGAAATTTAGGAAGATCTTGTCTCAAATAAATAAAAATAGATAAATAAAAGGCCTGGGAATATAGCTTAGTAGTAGTGAGTTCCAGGGTTCAATCTCCAGTACTAGGGGGGCGGCAGAGGGTGAAGGGGAGGTGCGGGCTGGCCGGGGAGAGGAGGGGGGGAAGGGGGACGGACAACATAATTACTATGGCATGTTTTCAAAAAACAATATATTTTCTTGGTCGTTAAAAGCCAGGGCTGATCCGTGTCAGAGCATTTGCCTAGCTATGCAAAAAGCCCTCTGTTCGATCCCCAGCATAATCCACACACAAGATTTTTATTAATAAAAACTGTTTATTTTTTAAATAATTTTTTTGCAGCACTTAACAGATTGAATGGGGGGAGGGGGTCTCTACCACCGAAGTACAACCCCAACCCTTTTTATTTTAAAACAAGGTCTTCCTAAATTGCCCAGGCTGACCTTGAACTTTAGATCCTCCTGCCTCAGCCTGAAGAGTAGCTGGGATTACAGGTGTTGGCCACCCTGCTCAAAATAACCGAATACTAAAATAGCACAGGTCAGTAGATTTCTCACAAAAGTTTCAAAGCACACACATCATTTATAGGACATGGAGTTAATTTTTGTTTACTAGTGAAAGTAGACAATGTGTAGTAATAATTTCCTATTCAAGAGTTTTGGTCTGGCATGGTGGTCTGTAATCCCAGCCACTTGGGAGCCTGAGGCAGAAGAATCCCAAATTCCAGGCCAGCCTCAGGAATTTAATGAGGCCCTAAGCAACTTAGTGAACACTTGTCTCAAAATAAAAAATAAAAAGAGCTGGGGATCTAACTCAGTGGCAAAAGTGTCCCTAGGTTCAATCTCTAGTACACCCCCCAAAAAAAGAAGTTTTGAAATTCTGATTTCCCACAATTTTTTTCTCATTCTTTCTTTAAAATGCCCAATCACTCTGCACAAATCAAAATGGAGCTCAGCTCTTTCCCCTGCTGTCAGTATTTACCAAATGAAATGTTTTCACCACTTGAATTGATGTGTGGCTGTTAATCTCTGACACTACACTGAATATATAAAATAGATCTTGTATTAGTAAGTTTTCCAATACTATGAAAAAATACCTGGCATGCGTGTGGCCCAGGTTCGATCCTCAGCACCACATACAAACAAATGTTGTGTCCACCGAAAAACTAAAAAATTAAAATTCTCTCTCT